TTACACATATCCAGCATCCTATCCCTCCAAATGAGGTTGGATTCCAGCTCCCATCAGCCCTAATCATGGTACCCAATGCTCAGGGATGCTGGGAACAGCAGTGCACCAGCATCTGGAGGGCCACAGGTTCCCCATCACTGGCATTGGCCATCCTGGACTAGATCTAAACCAATCTAGGTAGTTTGTGTTCATCTGCAACTGCTGAAAAATATGATGTCACACATAGAAAAAGGAGAAGGAAAAAGAACAGCTTGACTTTTGCTGCTTTTCTGGGCATTCTTTCAATATATTTAAGCTTTTAGCAGCATAAAACAGATTAGTGTGTTGTTCTGGAACCCCCCAACTCATAAACCCTGTGAAGCAGACTACAGTCGCCATAAGCGCTGGAGCCCAGACACAATACACTGCAGATGATGAAAGCAGACACTACTAAAGAGACATATATAATATCCACTTGTCTGGAAAGGAAGTTCTGTACACTGAGGATGGAAATGGAAATGAATAAAGGAGCGTATGAAGTTTTTTAAAATAAATAAATAAATAAAGGAAATCAAAATTGTTATAATGTTTTGGCTTTCTTCCGACCCTAATGGACAAGGGGAGGGAACAGAAAGAAGCCTAATGGTCCAACAACACACACACAACATATCAATGATACCGAGCAGTAATTAACATTTTAAATGTACTTAATGAAGTGTCTGCAGTCCTGGAGTTTCTGGGCTTCCTTCTATAACAGCCCAACCAGCACATCTGCTGCATGTGCGAGTTTGTACATGACATCATCTGTGCCAACAGATACCTGAGTTCAAGAACACAGGGTTGCATCCACACTTCGCCTTCTGCAGATGGATGATGGAGTACCGCAAGCAGAGGCGGTACTTTTGCTGATTCCACCTCCCCCAGCAACCACTGTTGCTACCCTCCCACACATATGGTGTACAAAAAGGTCCTCCCACCCTCACAGGATGTTCCTGCTCTTGGGAGCAAAGTCTAGATCCATCCAGCCCACGATGATACTCTCAGAATTATGTCCCTCCTAGGCTAAGTATATTCAGGCCACTATCATTGCATAGAATTGTGAAGCCTAAACCCACTTCTGTTTAGGTTGTGGCAGTTTGCCATCAATGTGAATAGGCATCTACTAATGTAGGAGGGCATTGCCAAGATGCATAATGATATTCATGGGGAGGAGGTCCTCTGATGATAGATAGATAGATAGACAGATAGATGATAGATAGATAGATAGATAGATAGATAGATAGATAGATAGATAGATATAGATAGATGATAGATAGAGTCATGCATTCATTCATTCCCCTCCTTTTAGCCAAAAAAGGTGTCCAGGGCAGCTTACAAAACAAAATCAGCACTACAGTTGTCCCTATCCTCAGCTCATAATCTGGAAATGCACAGCATATGAAGAAAAAAGGAATGGGAGGTAGGAGGGAAAAGAAAACTCAAGCACAAGTTCTTTAAGCTGTATTTCAGTCGATTGTTGAATTTTATGTCTTAATGTATTATATATTTTGATGTTAGCCGCCCTGAGCCTGGTTCTGGCTGGGGAGGGCAGGATATAAATGATGATGATGATGATGATGATGATGATGATGATGATGATGTTACAGTTCTCATAGCACAGTTAGATAGGTCTGTAGGTCTGTCTCTGCAGTTGCTGGCTGTCTAGAAGAGTAGCATCTCCTTGTCAGGTGAAGTTTTGGATCTGGCTGGCTTGCCCTTGATAAAGAACAGCCCCTTCCCAGAAGCACTCTCCTCCCAGATTTGATCCAGGAGAAGAACTTGTGACAACACCCAGGCCAGGAAGGCAGGCCAGCTCCTGCCACATTAGAAACAGAACTTTTGCAGTCATGGCTGCCTGTTTATGGAATGTCCTCCCAAAGACCATGAGGGAGATCTATACCACCCGCACATTTAAAGGTAAAGGTAAAGGTACCCCTGCCTGTACGAGCCAGTCTTGCCAGACTCTAGGGTTGTGCGCTCATCTCACTTAAGAGGCCGGGAGCCAGCTCTGTCCGCAGACACCTCCGGGTCACGTGGCCAGCGTGACAAGCTGCATCTGGCGAGCCAGCGCAGCACACAGAACACCGTTTACCTTCCCGCTGGTAAGCGGTCCATATTTATCTACCCGCACATTTAAGAGCCTATAATTTTGCTGGTTCACTGATCTCTGGGCCATGAAGTTTTGTACTTGCTCTTAGAACTGTTGTAGATATTGCATCCTCTTTGCTTTAAAAATAATATTGTGTTTTAAATTATTCAAATATTTGTTTTTATTAACCTTGCTGTCCACCTTGAGGACAATAGCAAAATGGGATAGAGGTTTGGAAATAAATGAAAGCCATGTCAATGCACCGTTTGGATACCAAAAGTAGCTGGTTTTGTGTCCTAATTTGAGAACCGGCATGTGTGAGAGAGATGGTGACATTAATTCCATGCAAACTTTACCTAAGAATGTAAATTCATACAGAGTACACTTCCGGCTGTGAGGATGGTACTGCTATGCATGTCAGAACATGCAGACAATAATTAGTGCATACATACAACCTTGCTTCCATGGTGAACATAAGAAAAACCCTTCTGGATCAGGCCAATGGCCCATCTGGACTGATGTCCTTTTCTTACAGTGGTCAGCCAGACGCCCAGGTGAACCAGAGGGCAAAAGTGATTCCTAGCATAGCTACTTTCTGCAACTACTTAGGATAAATGCAGATAACCATTTAAGGTAAAGGTAAAGGGACTCCTGACCGTTAGGTCCAGTCACGGACGACTCTGGGGTTGCGGCACTCATCTCACTTTACTGGCCGAAGGATCCGGCGTACAGCTTCCGGGTCTTGTGGCCAGCATGACTAAGCCGCTTCTGGCGAACCAGAGCAGCACACGGAAATGCCATTTACCTTCCCACCGGAGCGGTCCCTATTTATCTACTTACACTTTGAGGTGCTTTGGAACTGCTAGGTTGGCAGGAGCAGGGACCGAGCAACGGGAGCTCACTCCGTCGTGGGGATTCGAACTGCCGACCTTCTGATAACCATTTACCAAGTGGCGATTTACCATGGGGTGTAACTATCCACTTATTAGAACACTTGGTCATATGGAAAAAGCATTCAGAATAATGTGACCACTCTGTGCTTCGATAGCTTTTGTTTATTCAGTGTGGAAGTGTGGTCACTTTCCTTCATCTCTTGGCAGGATGTTAGAGATGAGAAGTTTGCTGAATAAGTTCAGGCACACCATGTTCAGCTGACACTTGGTAAAGGATCTCTATCTTCTTCCTTTGAAGTCTACTAAAGGACAAGGACAAGCTGTCCTCCTGCCTGTTAGAAGACACTGCTCCCAAGCTTTTATCTTCAATCATAGTGGCTCACCACATCATTTCAAAATGAATGATGATAGTCTCAAAGTTGCGTCGACTCCACCAGGTTCTGGATCACCATGTCTCCTCCACATATTCCTAATCTCCACGTAGACGTATGACTGTGGCTGTGAAGCCCATATAGGTATGCTGATAGACAGATTAAGACATCCACAGTTATTTGTCAAACAACCAAGTTATTTTACAGCTCACGTCAACTTTGCTGCTTATGTCTTCGCTAACTAATAAAAGGAAAAGCAACAAATTTCTTACCATAAATGGCTCGGGAGAAAAGAGTGCATAATTGGTGCATTATACACAAAAATTTAAACTATCTTGGCCTTGCCAGGCGGTGCAGAGAATGAGCGCTTCTCTGCTAATTCCCCTGCAATTGCTAAACACCCATCCCATCTAGCAGGAATGGATAGCCACTGCAACAAAGCAATTGGCTCCTATTTTGTTCTGTTGGTAGATAGATAGATGGATAGACAAACAAACAGAGACAGGCTTCTCTCACTGCACTGACATTTGCACATAAGACATAAAAAATGATATACATGAGAACATAGTTGTTATGTATGTGAAATGTAACCGATATGCTTTTGTGCCTAATTGAACCATTACGTGTAATGCTATATATAAGGAAACCATTACGATTGTAACTAACGCCTTATCTCGGTGGGGAGGGGTGTTATGTACTGAAGTTCTCACCCTGGGCCAGCAGGGGGATACTGTAGATAGTTATGCAAATGAAGGATCGAAAGTGACGTTCAGTGATTGGATAGTTTGTATGCAAATGAAGGATCGAAAGTGACGTTCAGTGATTGGATAGTTTTAGAAAGTTGCAACAGTTACAATTGTTCTGGAGCTCTATATAAGCAGGCTGACTGAGCTCCTCAGTTCAGTTCTGTTCCAGCTTACAAATAAAGAGCTGCTTTGGAGAAATTGCTGTGTTGTCTGCTATGTCAACCCACAACTTAACAATAATAAAAGCCTGCTGGCCCAGCATCCTCTTCTAACAATGGTCAGCCAGATTCCTATGTGAAGCTTGCAAGAAGGACCTGAGAGTAGCCTCACTCTCACCACCTGCAATTATGAGTAACTGGTATTCATAGGCACACTGGCTCCAACAGTGAAGGGAGAATATAGCCATCGAGGCTAGTAGCCATTGATGGCCTTATCCTTCATTGATTTATTATGGACCCAGAGCTGCTCATGTGTGCAAGTTTTGTGCAGTGTCCATGCAATGTTGTCCTAGTTGAAAATGCCATCCCAGATTTTTCCCCTTTTCACCTGGCTTTGCCTCCTCCCGCCTTTTACTTATCACATTTTCCACATGAACAGCAAACCCACAAATCCATGCAGAAAACCCCTGAGTCCTGTCCACCCTTGCTGAAATTGTGTATGCATAATCCTGAATTGGTATACTATACTGGAGTAATATTCTAGGCGTTATGATCCATCGCTTCAGTGAAGTCATAAGTACCTCTTGCATTGAACCCTGGAAAGGACTTGTGTACTTACTTCTGCATTAGTTTACAGGAGACTCAGAGAATCATAGAATTCTAGAGTTGGAAAGGACCCCAAGGATCATCTAGTCCATCCCCTGCAATGCAGGAATATGCAGCTCTCCCTTGTGGGGATCAAACCTGCAACTTTGCCATTATCAACACCACACTCTAACCAACTGAGCTATCCAGGTTGTTCAAACATGCACCCTCCACAGTTGGGGTATTCCAGTGATTCTGCACTGGAATGTATTTGCTCATGACCACACAAAATTTAAAAACCTTATGTCGTAATAAAGCTTATAAACAAAATAAACCCCCAAGCTTATGCCATAATAAAATTTGCCGGTCTTTAAAGTGCCACACGGCTCCTTGCTTTTTTTTGCTACAACAGATTAAATTGGCTCTAGAAACTGTTATTAAAAATACAGGCAAGCATGCACGTACCTGACTACAGCACACGGCTTGGGAAGGTTTCCTTCTTTAGGGTAGCAGCTAAGGGTGGGATTCACCTAACGGGCTCCAGGGGTGGAAACCCACAGTTCAGAATACACTTTCCCTGGAAATTAAGATGGCACCAACCATTTGCTCTGTTGTTGTTGTTATTTGTTAAATTTCTATATGGCCCTTCACCCGAAGATCACAGGGTGATTTACAGTACGGTCAAACCTCAGTTCCCGAATGCCTCCATCTTGGAACGTTTCGGTTCCCGAATGCTGAAAACCCGGAAGTAAATGCTCCGGTTTTCAAACATTTTTTGGAAGCCAAACGTCCGATGCAGCTTCTTCTCATGTGCAGGAAGCTCTTGCAACCAATCAGAAGACACTCCTCAGTTGTCAAACATTTCGGAAGCCGAACGGGCTTCCGGAACAGATTACGTTCGACAACCGAGGTTTGACTGTATAAAAACACAAAAATGCGTACCATAATAACAAATGAAAACAATAACACCCTCCCTCCGAACACACAGTTTAAAAGACCATAGATTGTTTAATTAGCCAAAGGCCTCAGAGATGAGGAATGTTTTTGCCTAGTGCCTAAAGATATGTAATGAAGGGGCCAGGCAAGCCTCCTTGGGGAGAGCATTCCCAAGTGCAGGTATTCAGGAGGTACTCAGGTGAAGTGGTACCTTCTACAATAGCAGCCAGCTGTTGCTCATGCTCTGAGGTGCACCTTAAAACTCTTCTAATTCAACCAGGCTTTTTCAGGGTAGTTCTATTGGTCATCTTTCCTGTTGGTTTTACGGATGGCTTTAATGCACTTTTACTGTGCTGTCTTTGCATTGTGTTCTGTTTTTCTTTTTTTGCACACCACCACAATGTTTTCCAGTGGTGGGCTGTTTATTAATCCAACAAACAAACAAATAAAAGGGTCCCAGCTTTAGTCCCTGGCATCTCCAGATAACATGGGGAACCTTGCTTGTCCGAAATCCTGGCAAGAAGCTGCTATTCGATGCCAGCAGTCCGCAGCGAGATAGACTAATGACTTGACTCAGTATAAGTTGGATTCCTATGTTCCTTAGAAAGCAAAATTGAAATATCCAGTGTAGAATATGCAGTCTGAATATAAAAGAGGCATCCTCTGGACTAATTCAATATGGTGTCACACTCGTTCTGTCCTCATCTCGCTCCATTATCCCTTTGTATGGCTGCACATATGGCAGAAGTTGATGAAGCAAGATTCTTGCAAGGCTAAGGGCTAACAAGTTGAGGTAAGGACATTGTTTAACAGTAAATATGTAGCCTTCATTCTTAGATCCCTCTGTGTGTGAGAGAGAGTGAGAGCAAGAGAGGGGGAGAGAGAGAGGGAAGGGGAGAGAATGAATTTCTAGTTGCGATTTCTACAATGTGATTTCAAATAGTTTGTCATAAAGGGATTAAGGCTACCCAGCTTGCTTAATAGAATTTTTAGAGAGGAAGTTTTTGGAAACAGCAGGTTGTTAGGTGAACAAACCAAGCTTGCAACCTGAGAAACCTGCCATGTTGTTCACTGTCTGAATAACAGCAAAGCAATCAATTATAGTTTCAGTGTTGTGGGGTGGGCAAAATGTTTTCTTAGACCTGGAGCTGAATCTCTACTCATCTGTGGATCTCACTGTATGCTGTTGGGACAATCAGTCTGTCCCAGCTCAACTTGCTTCATAGGAATGCTGTAAGGCTGAAATGGGAAAACAACCATGTATTCTTCTCTGAAACCCTGGGAAGATAGTCGGGATACAAATGTTACCAATATTAAATCATCCCTTGCCTCCTTTTTGTCATCAGTCATGGCAGTAGGTCTCACATCTTCTTCCCATAGCAGTTTTAGGTGGGGTGGATTTGGCATCATTCTTCACTTTTACCCCTGTGGTTGTCACAACCTTATTGCCCAGGAGGCTTTGTTAGACCCTAAGAAGAAGAAGAAGAGTTTGGATTTGATATCCCGCCTTTCACTCCCTTTCAGGAGTCTCAAAGCGGCTAACATTCTCCTTTCCCTTCCTCCCCCACAACAAACACTCTGTGAGGTGAGTGGGGCTGAGAGACTTCAAAGAAGTGTGACTGGCCCAAGGTCACCCAGCAGCTGCATGGGGAGGAGCGGAGACGCGAACCCGGTTCCCCAGATTACAAGACTACCGCTCTTAACCACTACACCACACTGGCTAAGCAATATGAAATGTCATGCCTTAATTTTGATACACCAGTAATGGTTATGGTAATTGTAGTTGGGCCATACCACAGAAACTCATGGACCACACCTGGCCTGGAAGCCACAATTTGTCAGTCACTGTTTGCAACAATTTCTTCCTTACGTCTTGAATAGATGCAGCCAACATTATGAGGTTATTTGAGAGACTGTCTAGATACACAGTAGATCTCCATGGTTTGTAGGAGAGTGTCTCCTTCAACTTCTGGAGATCTCAGAAGCAGTAACTCGGAGTAGAGTTTGTAGAGTGGCTGCCATGCTGTGCATTCCTAGTGAGATATGAATCTCAAAGGCATTCCTATTTGCTGTTTTTATATTTTTAACTGTTTTTAATTATCTTTAGTGTAAATCACTTTGAGATGGTTGTTTAGTAGAACATTAACAAATGAATTATTATTACTACATAACTATCTATCTATCATCATCATCATCATCTATCTTCTGTTGGAAAGAAGCACTGATATCATGCTTTCTGATCAACTAGGTTGCAGGATCACACTGAACTTGAAAGGGGTCTTTTACAGATTAAACCCTACATTAGCTAAGCTCGTGTGTGTGTGTGTGTGTGTGTGTGTGAGAGAGAGAGAGAGAGAGAGAGAGAGAGAGAGAGAGAGATGAATCATAGAATCATAGAACCATAGAGTTGGAAGAGACCACAAGGGCCATCGAGTCCAACCCCCTGCCAAGCAGGAAACACCATCAGAGCACTCCTGACATATGGTTGTCAAGCCTCTGCTTAAAGACCTCCAAAGAAGGAGACTCCACCACACTCCTTGGCAGCAAATTCCACTGTCGAACAGCTCTTACTGTCAGGAAGTTCTTCCTAATGTTTAGGTGGTATCTTCTTTCTTGTCGTTTGGATGTCATCCTTACTCTGTTTTACTGAAGGCACAATGAACTGGGTTAGGGGTGTGGTTAAGTAACTAAACAATTGGTCAGCTAGTTTCTACCTTTTGCTGCATAAAACAGGTATTGGAATCTGAACCTTTCTGGACGAGGTCCAAAAATAGTAGTTCAATTGGTAAGTTTTACTCTGACATCTGCTTTTGTTCATAGAGTAGAGAGCCCAGGTGACACATTCAGGCCAATTTTACATTGTTTGTTGTTCTGAACACCTGTGCTTCGGCCTTACAGAGTATAAAAAGTTTGCCAAAAAAATGCAACTGGTTTAATATGAATATCATGTTTACTGTTTTCCTCCATCACCATTTGCCCAGCTAAATGGAAAATAACAGTTTCTCAGATAAAGCCAAGTTATAACTACAGAAGTTCACAGTCATTAAAAAAATAAAATAAGTGCAATGCAATTCCACGAATGTCAACTCCAAAGTGAGCCCCACTGAGTTTATAATGGGACTTACTCCTAGGAAAACGTGCCTAGGATATCAGCCTTCCTAGACATGACTTCTCGGAAGTAAGTCCAATAGGATTCACTCCCAGGTAAATGTACATAGGATTGCAGCCTTGGTTGATTGCTTAAGACAGTTGTGTGCTGCATTCTCTGTAATTCACATGTGGGATGCAACATGGCTTGCAACTAAAGTTAAAGTACACAACTCCCAATGAAATCAGAATAACTCTACAATAAAACAGGCAGCTAAAAATCCGTAGATAAAAGCATGGCAGATATTCATCTACTGAGAAAAGTGATAATATTAGGGTCGCTTATTAAGTAGTTTGCAGAGTAGCTGAACTTGTTCAGGGTTTGACCAGGAACAGTCAATATATGCTGTCTTCATTGGACTGCAATTCCTATCATCCTTCATCATTGACCATTCTGGCTGGAGTTGGTGGGAAATGTAGTCCAAGATGTCTGGAGGGCATCCTATTGGCTACCCCTCAGAAAGCCAGTTTAATGGAATCACTCTGCTTTTGAAGAGCTTAACATAACTTCCGCCTTAGGCTATTGCTTAGACTACCTTCTGAAGCCAAGCAGGTTTGGAGTTCGTCCACCTGGATGAGAGAACACATTGGAACACCATTGTGCACTGCTTTGAGCTTTATATGAAAGAAAAGTGGGATATAAAATGTGCAGTGGGTGGCTACGTGAGGTTGGGTCTTTTAGGTGATGGTGTCTTGGGATAGACAGATCAGTCTCTTTCTGATATCTGTCACTTTTCCAAATGTACATTCATAAGCCCATTTCCTCCTCTAGTAGAATCATAGAATAGAATCATAGAGTTGGAAGAGACCACAAGGGCCATCGAGTCCAACCCCCTGCCAAGCAGGAAACACCATCAGAGCACTCCTGACATATGGTTGTCAAGCCTCTGCTTAAAGACCTCCAAAGAAGGAGACTCCACCACATTCCTTGGCAGCAAATTCCACTGCCGAACAGCTCTTACTGTCAGGAAGTTCTTCCTAATGTTTAGGTGGAATCTTCTTTCTTGTAGTTTGGATCCATTGCTCCGTGTCCGCTTCTCTGGAGCAGCAGAAAATAAGCTTTCTCCCTCCTCCATGTGACATCCTTTTATATATTTGAACATGGCTATCATATCACCCCTTAACCTCC